AAAAAAAAGTTTATCAAACAAAGAGAATATGTAACAAAAAAAGAAAAAGTCAATCATCGAAAGACAATTGTTTTATTGTAAACATATGCAGGAAAAAGATTCACAAAAGAAAAAAGAATTTAAATGTAAACTATATGCACTATCCGACAAATGTTTTTTTTTTTTATTATTTCTAATAACTAAATTTCTTACAAATTATTTATTCTGCTTTAGCAGTTGTATCATCATCACTCTCTAAAAGAACAATATCATTCGTATCTGTAGTAGTTTGTTGAATCTGATTTGAATCTGACGTAGCTGAAATGAATAAAATAAAATAAAAAAAAAAAAGTTGTTTAATTTAGAAATTTCAAATAATCATACTTGGATTTTGTATATCAGTTAATTGTTGACTAAGGCCAAGTTCAAATGCATATTGAATGATTTTTGAATAATCAATAGTTCGTTGATCTTCCGATGACATCGATCGAAAAAAATCTAAATACATTTGTTGAAGATGTGGAATTTGAACCATAGCTGTTGAAGCTAATTGTTGTTGTTGTTGTAAACGTTGTGCAGCTAATTGACGTTGATCTGGTAAACGTTTTAAATTTTCATATTCTTCAAGAGCTAAAATTTAAAAAAATTATTAAGAAAAATATATAAAAATAAATTTTTATTTTTTACCTCTACGTCGTTCTTCTTCACTAAGACCTTCATCAAGTTTATTTTCTAATAATGAATCATGTGAATGATATGAATGTATCCAATGATTATGTTCATATAATAAATCAAGTAATAAATGATCTTTTGGTATAGGATAATTAAAATCTGTATTTGTCATTGAACGTAATTCAGGTAATTGTTCAGGTGTAAATTTATATAATTCTTTTATATCATTTTCAGTAAAATGACGATCTAATTGATGATCATCAATAACACTAGAAGATAAAAAATTATTAAATTTTTTTGTTCAAATGTAATTTTTAATTTTTTTACCGTTGAGATAATGATTGTTTAACAACTTGTCGTTGATAAATTTTTTCTTCCATTGTACCTTGTGCCAAAAATCGATAGATATAAACAGGTTTCTTTTGACCAAAACGATATGATCGAAATATAGCTTGAGTATCATGACTAAGAAAAGAAAATTTCTAATAAGATATGATCTTATTTGAATTGAATGATTTATCATTTATTTAGATTTGAAGATTTTTCTATATGAGTAGTGCATGTAATGAATATGATCAGTATGAAGTTGTCACATATAACTTTAGTTTCGTCAGATTTTAATAAGTATTTAATGGTTAAGAATTTGGTTGAAAAAAGAAATGACATACATCAACAGAGTCTCAAAGTATTCGTCTAATAGCTGATTAGAGTAGGGAAAGATCTGAATGAAAAAGTCAAAATTCATTCAACGAACTCCTTGTGTATCAATCATATGGAAGTATCTCTTTCTAAATATTACTTCAAAGATGCTGAGTTTTTTACTTGTTATTAATCTAAATAAAAAATGTTAAGTTTTTACACTGCAATATTTTTATATACTAATGAAAAAAATCTAAGAATCAGACAAGTTTTCGTTTTTATTTTTACCTTGGATTCCAACTTGCATCAAAAACAATAACTCTATTACTACCAACTAAATTAATTCCAATTCCACCAGCTAATGTTGATATAAGAAATAATCGTGCACGTAAATTTGTTTCATCATTAAATGCTTTAGCATAACGTTTTCGTGCTGTTACATCTGTTTGACCATCCATTCGAAAATAATCTTGATCACGTATCCATTCTATTGGTTTTGGTATATAATTACATAAATCATTATTAGTTGTACCATTTGATGAAAGCATTTGACGTAATTGTCTTCTTGATTCACATTGTTTTCTATATTCTTCTTCATTTTGTATTTGTAACTGATATAAAAATCTTTCAATATAATTTAATGTATATAAACTACGTGAAAAAAGAAGAATTTTATCACCAATTTCAGAACATTTATCAAGAATTGATTTAAGTAAAAATATTTTTCCACTTAAACTTATATCAAATTCACTTTCATCGGGTAACATATCTAAGAATGGAAACCAAAATTGTTCACGCATATCATTTAACCATGGTTGATCTGAATTATCTTGATGATCATCATCAGTTGATTCATTTAATGGTATATTATCATTACCAGTATCAAAAACATCCAAATTCATATTTTTTCCATTGAATATTTTTGATGAATTTTGTTTTTCTTTATTTTTTGCTGCTGTTCGACTTCTTGTTCGATAATTTTTAACGATTTCAACTTTTTCATTATTACCACCATCATCATCGTCATGATCAGTTAATTTTGATTTTGAATCTGAATCTATTTCTTCATTTATTTCATCATCGTCATCTTCTTTATATGAACCTGATTCAACTGTTGTGACTGAAGAACCATTCGAAGATTTAGAAATAGTACGTTTTTGTGATTTAGAATGCTCATTATTAGTTGTTGATGCTTCAACATCTTCATCTTCATCACCAACATTATCAATTAAGAAACCACTAAAATTTTTCTTTGTGTTCGACTAGAAAAAAATAAATTGAGAGTATTATATTTTAAGTTTAAACTCGTTTTGAATAAGTTTTTTTTATATTAAAAAACAATATAGGAAGTACAAAACTATAGTTTGAAATATTCCAAAGCTTATCATGGTTTATAAATAGAACAATAATCCTTAGACAAAGAAAACTATGTTTATATTCGATAATTTTGTTAAAAATACAAGTGTTCTTTTTTCAGTTCAAGTCATCTCATAAATAGATATTTTGTTTTATCAAGTCAATAATTGGCACTTTTTTTGATACACCTTTGTTGAGTTATTTCCATGTAGTGTCAGCCTTGATAACTTCTCTTTCCCGTAGTCCTGGTGTCCGAGATTAAAGTTGGTTTGTTCGAATATCTTTTGAAGAATATGTTATCTTGGTATATAGAATATAGTTCTAAGATAATGGCAAGCATTCGATATATCTCCAACTATAGATATGCCGGGTCACCGTGCCCTGAAGGGTTGGTAAGTACAAAAAAGCTTGCAAGAGAATTTTTCTAAGTGACGAATGGCTTTTGAATTAGAACTATGTGGATCATGTAAGTTATAATGAGCTATGAATATTTCGAAAAGTAACATAGAATATTTAATACTTTTACTATAGACTAATTTAAGTGAAAATTCAAAATTCTGTTTTCTGGATATTTCTAAGTTTATCGAACTACTTTATAGAATTAAACTTATCTCAAGAATTATTGATATTTAATTTACCGTTTCTTGTTTTTCTTTTTTCTTTTTATTAGTTTTCTTTTTCGTTTTTTTCTTTTCTTCCATTTCTTCATCTTCATCAGTAAACATAGCTTCAAATTCACTATCATCAAGAAAATCATCTTCATCTTTATATAATCGTTTTTTCCAATGATCAATAAAATGTGGATAAAGTAAAAATGGATGTCTACAATAGTTAACAAAAAAAGAAAAGAAATTATCAATAACACTATTTCAAAAAAAAAATTCTTTTCTTACGTCCAAATTTTTTGTAAATATTGATAATCACCAAATAATTTAACTGATTTAAAATCTTTTTTTGATGTTGATACATTTTGTTGTTGTTGTTGTTGTTGTTCTTGATTTCCTTGTTTTTTTAAATATAGATCATATAATGTTGTTTGTAAATCACTTAATCGAATATTAATTATATATTCAAATTTTGGTGGTAAATAATCTTTTAATAATGAATAATCTTTTCGATCAATAAAACCTGTTAATAATTCATGTAAAACACATGCACGTCGTTTCATTAAACAAACATCTTCTTCATTAGAATCTCGATGTTGACCATTTTGTATTGGATTAACAAAACGATTTATATATTCTTGTTGACTACCAAGTAAATTTGGTTTTATAAATGACACCATACAATAACTAAAAAAAAAAATAAACAAATTTTAGAAAACAAATAATCTAATGTTAAATATTTACTATTCAATAAGATTATTTTGTAATGGTGTACCAGTTAAAACAATACGACGAGATGTTTTTATTTTCGATAAACATTTAGCAAGAGCTGTTTGAGCATTTTTTAAAATATGTCCTTCATCAGCAACTAAATATAAAAGATTAAATTAAGTTTTCAACAGAATTTATATGTTATCAAAGAATAGTCTTATCTAATTTTCTATCAATCTCAATTCTAGCCTCGATAAATCTAACTTGATCACAGTCTCGGTCTAATTTTCTATTTGTTGAAGCATTCTGTACAGTCTACATTTCTGTATTCGAATATCAATTGAAAGTAAAGACAAAAAGTCTAGAAACACAATATTTTTGACTTTTTTTCCTTTATGGTAAAAATGAAAATAAAGCAAAGAGAATATTTCAATAGCCGAAACCATTTCCTGTCAGAATAAATACTTGTCAGATTTTCACTAACAGTCTTTCGATAAAACTTCTCTTTCGAAAATGTTTTACAAATCATTCTCTGTATATTAAATTATTGAAAAAAAAAATACAATGATTGAATTACCAATGATATCAGGTCCTGGATCAACAAGACATTTATATGCTTGTGCTTTAACTTTTTTATTTTTTAAACCAAAACCATTAGCTAATCTTCTATACATTTCATAACCCATAATCATAACACCACCATGTTCATACCAATAATTTAAATGTGTAACACGTAAATTTGGTTTTATTGTTGTTAATTGATAATGATCAACAGGTGGTTCAACATCATTTAACCAATATTCAAATTCATTTGACCAATTTAGAGCTAAGAAGAAAAAAAAACAACATCAAAATTTTCCTACAATCTTTAAACAAAACATCATGTTGGATTAGATGACATATTAAACATACAGAAACTAAATATACAAGATTGTAGAGCAAGTCGAATGATATATACTGTACTATTTGGTATTTCTATGAGATAGCAGTACAAAAAACACATTTGTCCGAAGTTCTCGAAAATAATGCATGATGTTCAAAAATAATCGTGCATTGTAAAATCTCAACTAACTTTCTCATATCAATATTCCTCTTTCAGTATTATGTTTCGACATTTTGATGGAAAAAAATTATTTTCTTAAAATATAATTTATCAATGTAATAGATATTTTGGACATCGTGGACATTTTCCAAGAAAGTTTAGCATCTGGTCAGTTCTTCTATTGTAGATACGGAGACTCACCATCAGAGATATTCAGTATATGAACTTGTAGTCTGTAAAAAAACTTGACTGATATCAAGTTGCATAATATATACTATTCTACTCAACTCGATTTGCTCTACAATCTAGTACAATTGGTTTCTCAATTCTAACTAGATCATCTTATTTGATGAAATCATTTATATTAATTATATATTACCAGCATTAATTGGACAAAGAACAAGACATGTACGAACATTTGTTATTTTATCATAATTAAAAATTGTATGAATAAAACTAATAACTTGTAAAGTTTTTCCTAAACCCATACAATGTGCTAATATACAACCATTGCCTTGTTTTTTATTTTCAATTGCATCAATTGATTCAAATACATTATTCCATAAAAATCTTATACCATCACATTGATGTGGTTTTAATTGTTGAACTAATTTTGATGAAACTTCAATTAATGATTCATTTGTTGTTTTATCTAATTCAAGAATTAAACGAGGATTTGAATGATTTATTTGTTCATTTTCTTTATTTGTCATATAAGTTGATTGTTCAAGTAAATTATCATTATATTCTTTTTGTTTTTCTGCTATACGTTTTCGACGTTCTAATTCAATTTCAACAGCTTGTTTTGTTTGAATATCTAATTCTTTATCATCAATAATTTTTCGAATATTTTTTCTACCATTATGACCATTTTTTCGTTTTGTTGGAGAACTATCTTCATCTTCATCTTCATCATATTCATATTCATTTTTAATATTATCATTTTTATTTTTATTATTATGATTATCTTCATTATCATTTTCAACTTCATAACTTTCAGTTGTTTCACCATCATCAATATTATTATTATTATTATTATTAGTTGTTGTTTTATGATTTTGATCATCATCATTATTCTTAGTATTATCATCATCATCATCATCACTAAATTGAAATGAACATTTTTTTCTACCATTTAGACTATTTCCACTATCATTATGACTAGTATTATTATTATTATCAGTAATTGTTGTAATAGTTGTTGTTGTTGTTGCTGCAGCTGAATTTTTTCTTTCTTGTGTTTTACGTTTCATTTGTCTTAAAATATTTGAACGTTCATTTGAAACAGTTGGTTTTTTACGTCGTTGTCTAGTACGTTTAGTTACAATTTCATCACTACCATTTGAAGCATCTGATGATGATGATGATGATGATGATGACGATGATGAACGTTGAATTTGAATACGACTTGATGGTTGTGGTGGTGGTGTAGGTGTTGACGGTGATGGAGATTTTTCAATAGGTTTTGATATTGGTATTGATGTATGATGTTTTGAAGAAGTAGAAACATTTCGACGAGTTGTTGAAGTCTATAATAATAAGAATACTATTCTAAGAATATGTTCAGTAATAATTTAGTTTTTTTAATTATAATCAAAGCGCTTTTCGAATAAGACAATGTTTTTTTTTAAAGAAAAGTCTAGAATGATTTGATTTTTAAAACTTTGTTCTTCAGATGATAGGCTTTTGACTGAAACTGAGATTTTCAAACTAGTCACAAAACATTTTAATAAAATTAAATTATGTTCTTTTCTTTTTTTCTATGTTTTAAAACAATATTGAATTATCTGTATTTATTTAAAATAAAACTTAAATAAATGAAATCTTACCACTGGAATATCAATATCATCGCTTGATGATGATGATGATGAATGTGTAAAACTTCGTTTTAATGCAATTTTAGTTTTCTTTTTAATAGGTGATGTATCCGAATTTGATGATGAATGTATTGAACGTTTTGATTGATTCAAAGACATTAATCTAACGATAAAATTTGATGGCCTAGAATAAAAAAAAAAACAATCAAACAAACAAACATATCGTTCATCTTATTATATAAAATTAAATTATATTTCAATAAATGAATTTTTATTATTTCAATTATTATACACCACAAGGAGAAAAAAAAACAAGTAATGAACAATATGAAATAACTATTATGTTTTCCTTTTTTTTTTTTTTTTTCTTGATTTCTTTTCAATAAACATCACACAAATATTCATTTGAATATTTACATTTGTTTTGAAAAGAAAACAAACGAACTGAAAGACCATTGAATAATGAACACAAATATATATACTACATAGAACAAATGCAATAAGCAAGGTTATATGCAAGATAAAACAAACAAATGATTTTTTGATAAAACGAAAAAAAAAGAAAAAAAAGAGCCTTTTTGTCACGTAGTAAAAAAAAACAGTGGACATGTATAACTGTGCTTTTATTTTTTTTTGAATTTTATGTTGTTAAAAAATGTGATATATTAGTTGATGATAATGTTGGAAGAGGAGGATCAATACCATCATTTGATATATCTTCAATACAATCATTATAATTAATAATTGAACTTTGATTTATTGTTGTTGAACTTGTATCAAATGTTCTATCATTTGTTATATTAAGTGAATCAAATAATGATTCATGATCATTTTCAGTCATATCTTTTGAATTTTGTTGTTGATGAATTAAACCAACATCTTCAATAATAGTTAATGATTCACATATAGATGTTTCTTTGGTTTTTGTATTATTTGAAGAATTTTTATTTTTATTTTTATTTGATTTTTTTGTTGATAATTTCATTGTAATATCATCATCAACAATATTCATTGATGTATCATTTAATTTACGTGTTTGTGATAATATACCATTTTGTCCAATATAACGTGGTATTTGTTCACAATTAGTATCATCATTTAATGTATCTATTTGAGATATATTTCCCAATGTATATAAATCATCATCTTCAGCATCTATTGCACGTAATTTTCGTTTAGTTTTCTTTTTATTATCATTATTTAATTGTATACTTGCAATAGATGATGTTGATGGATGTTCATTAAATTTTTTTGATCGAGTTGATTTTTGTTTATGTTTTGAACTATTTGAAACTAAAGAAAAAAATATTTAAGTATTTATCATAACGTTAAAATAGGAAAACAATATAAAACTCTATTTCTATGTAATGATAAACAAAATGTTAACTTATTCAAACATTAAAATTATTATTTAATTTATAATAAAGAATTTATATTCATAAGAAAAAAAAAAAACAAATCTTTTTTTTTTATAACTTGAATTAAGTGTATATTTCGTATGTACTTTTTCTTTGGAAGTGTCAATGAAGAGGATGCACTCATTCACTTGTACACCTACACTTTCTTTATACCTTATTCATTGACTGATAGCATCATCTTCGTTTTTGTAATTAACTATTTGCTTTTTTTATCATCTATATGAGACTATCATAAAAAAAAACAATATCGATAAATTAAAGAAACACTCATTGGACACACAGTGAGCTAATTCTATATAGAATGTCGACATGGTTGATTTTTTCTCTCGTTATAGAAATATGACTTTGCAGTACTCAACAACAAACAAAATTGATATGCGTAATAAAAAAAAAAAAAACTATTTTCCATTTCTTTTATCTAAAGATCATTTTAGTTCTTTACAAAAGAGAAAACGATCAATATCTTCTTTTTTTTCAAAATCGAAAATCATGTATTATCGTTAATAAGAACAAAAATTTGTATATACATAAGCCCACACGAAAGTGAGCATACTTGCGAAAAGCAATAGATTAGAACAAAAGAAACAAATTTGGACGTCACTACAAGTTAAAAGAAAGAACAGAAAACATTTAAAAAGAAACTATGTAAGAACAAAAAAAAATAATAAAGGATAAGCATTAAATAACGCATGAGGTCACCTATAACCTGTACAGTCTTACATAACTAACAGTTAAAGTAAATAAAACATTCTTTTTCTTCTAGTGAAAAAAAACAGGTGGGGATAACCTGTGTATCACCGTCCTCAAATGTATAATAATTGTACATTATAATTCAAAGATTATTCCTAAGAATTTTTTTTTTTTGTTAAAATTTCAAATGCCTTCATGCAATGAAATAGTACATTTACAAAGGAACTACTCTAGTTGTAACCCATCATTTGAGCTCTTATTAAAACGACAAGAAGGCCTTGATTAGACTAGTAAAAGTTTAAAAGAGGTCGTCGACCATAAACCTTCTGAACTGAATTTTCAACTTGGAATTTGAATTAAAGATAATCTAAAAGTTTCATATTATTCTAAAAATGCTTAAATCTAATCATGAATGACACTTCAGTTTGAAAATTTCGTTATTAGATTTTCTACTTGTTAGGTTTTTTCTACTAAATATTTTATATATTAAACGACTCTATTTTAAATTTAATTATAAAGTATTTTCAACTATTTTAAATGACGTCAAAATTCTGATCATTTTCTTAAACATCAAAAATTTCCGATTAAAAAATAACATATTTTTTATTAATCAAAAAAACCTTAAATCTTAAAACTTACATATTTTTATCGTCTAAATAATTTTGTCAATAGTATAGCTTATAGAAATAGAATATGAAACATGTACATAAACTTAAATTTATTTTGTATTATGTCCTTCAAATACTTCTTATAATACATGATTGTATGGCTTATATTTTTAATGACAAATCTCTTCAAAATACTGGTTTCATGGTTACTTTATTGGAAAGAAAATGACATATTACACTTAATCTTAGTATCTCATTACAAAAGTTTGTTAAAGAAAAATCTTTCTATCAAGATTAAAGATGAATAATGGTTCTTTTTTATTTCTAAAATCACCACCATATCGAAGATAAAACTTTACTTGTAAGAAATGAAAAACTATTATTAAAACTTTGTCAAATATTCCGAAAAAAATTTCAATGTAACAACATTTAACTAGAAACAATAAATTAATCTAAACACATACTTTCATCGGGTTGTGTTTCGGATAAAAGTATTTTATTTGTTTGAGCATTTTTTTTAGTTTTTCTTCCATTGGAACTAAATTTTGAAAGTCTTCGTTTTTTCTTCTTTCGACTACGTTTTGGTTTTGCTTAAAAAATAGAGAAAAAAAAATAAATAAAAGAATTTTTTTTTAATTATTTTATTACTAGTTTTCCATGCTATTGGCAAATAAAGTTCAGCTTCAGCTAATGAAATACGTTTTAAACGAATAGCTGGTCGACAAATATTTTCTCGTTTTCCATTATCAACATCAATGTGATTATGTTTATCTGAGGATGTCAATAAACAACTCTCAGATGTTTGTTCTTCTTGTATTAAAGGAATAAATTCTTGTATATCAGGCGAAATAGCACTTTGATAAATAACTTCAATTGATGATTCACTTTCAATTTGATTATTTTCTATTAATAGAAAATTATAAGATAAAATAATTTTTCTATTATTCATAATAAAAACAAAAAAAAAAAAAAAAAAGAAAAAAACAAAATTAAATATTTACGCAATAGCAATTGTTCAAGTTCATTAATTTTATTTGTTATTAATTGAAGTAATTGCGTATCATTTGAAATAGTTTGAGGTAACCAATTAGATTTAAATTGGTTTAACCATATTGATACATTATCTTTATTCATTATTATATCGCTATAGTGAAAGAAAAAAAAAATATAATATTTGAATTGATGCAAATCAAATTTAAATAAAAATCCCTACTCATTTATATTAACAAATATATATATATATATAACGGATAAAATATGGGAGAAATCAAAATATGATTAGTTGGTTTTTTCTTTTTCTGTTGTTTGTCCTTCTTTGTCTCCTTGTTTTGACCAGCAAGTGAATAAGTCGATATATTTTTTTTTTATCGCGATCACAATCATTCATTCAATCAATTCAAAGAAAAGCAACGAAATCTTCAAGCCAATCACAATATACGTACACTAGAGGGCATTGCATGATGTCAACTTTTTCTTTTGTTATAATTATTTCATCGATGAAATATCTGAAAACTTGGTCCTAGTTCATTTTGAACACATTACTTGCACTCATTAGTGCGATTAATATACTGCATAGCACTGCGTGGCAGTTAGTATTGTGTCTAAACTAAACAAATATCTTAAGTCGATTTGTTATCAGAATAATTTTTAATCAAAATTGCTTAAGATTTAATTTATAAACTAAACGATAGGTCAAGAAAATCTTTTCTTCTAACTTTTTATCGTTTGATATACATTCTTTTTTGAGTCGTCCAGAAATCAGTCAACTTTGACGTTAGGACATGAATTGCTGGCGTGAATGATGCACATTTTTGACATAAGACAAAAAAGCAATAAATTTTATGAACTTTTAAAATGAAGAATTATGCAATGCTACTCTATTATTGAAATATTATTTCAACTTATGAACTAAAGAAATTTGATCCTGATGGATATTAATCATTATAAATGATGTTTGCAATACGCTAAGAAAAAAATAAATAAATTTCTGAAGTCATTTAGTCAAGAATTGTTTCCATCTTCACAAAAAAATACAATACATTTGAGTATTTAACATTCTTTTAATTATAGTAAATTGTTTGGTATATTTCAATCATATAATCAGATTTCATTTTAGTTCTCTATTATTATGTATAAAGAAAACAGAAAAAAAAAACAATTTGAAATATTGATATTAAATTTATTTTTCATATGATTGTCAAAAGATGATAGTTAAATTCTTTAAACAAAACAATAAAAAGAATTAAATATATAAATTACATTTCTATTAATCAGTCAGCAATCATATGAATTTAAAATTTGTATAATCTCAATATTGAAGAAAAAAAAGAATAGAAAACTTTCTAAAGTATCATTTTTATCCAGTGCTTGGAGTATAGCACATACTAAATGTTCCATTCCAAGTTGTGCCACTCGGACAATAACAAGTACCACCTGTACATTCTCCTCCACTACAAATTGAACTACTACAAAGTAATCCAGCACCAGCAGCATTTAAACATGTCGTTGTGTTTACTGGATAGTTAGTCCATTTTATACACGACTCACCATATAATACTCGATCATGACATGTAGTACCATCCTACAAATATTTTATATTGTCGGAATGAAATAATTCAAACAAAAAACTCTTAATTAACATACCCAGTATTTAGTTGTTGCACATTCACATGTTGTACTGAGTGGACAAGAAACTAAATTGTAATCTGCACATTGATATGATGCATTACATATATCACTTGCATTTACACCCCAAGCTGGTGTACCTTTATTTCGACAATATGATCCATTCCACCATTGTAATTGTGTACAGTTACTAAATAGATATTGAATTAAATGAATGTTCTTTTCGTTTATTCAAATATAAAAAAATTTGTTAGAATAGCTGTTATACAGTTGAAATATGGTACTTACATGTTTTCACTAGCCTCATTATACTAATACAAAAATAAGAGTCAATTGAAAAATCTCCAGTAGACTAGAATTGTTTTCCAAGAAAGACAAATCATCTTATTTTTTTTTCTGCTTTTTATTATACTCGACTCATGAGTCTCAATATTCATATCTTCTCACGAACGCTGATATTGATTATTTCCTAAAGTAAACAGTTGATTAGTTCACGTTTTTTTATGTTGATCATATGATGACTGTGACAAATCAATGTATTATTATCTCGTCAATGCTGTTTAGTATTTTTTTTCTTTCGCTCAGAAACGTTGAGAAAAAAATCTGACACCTATTCTCTTGTGTTGTTAAGGTCGATACTATGAAATGAAGCCGTAAAACTTTGACTTAAAACTTACATACACTATTTTCTTTGAAAAAATATGTTAATTCCAGAAAAGAAAAAAGAAATACATACCACCATCCAGATCCAGTTATATTTGAAACACTATCATTCATACATTGTAAATTTGCCGCTTTATCACATTCATTACTTGTACAATTCGAAACAAGTGTACAAGATTCATGACGCTAAAAAGAAAGAAAGGAATTTGATTTTTCTCGTAAAAACATTTGTTTAAACAAAAAGAAAAAAGTATGAATTAATTCATACTTTTTTCGAAATAAGACATGCTTGAACACATTCTTCCCAATAAGATGTTTCATTGCAAAGACATTGTAATGCTGGTGGTACAGTTGTACCAGAACGGCATATTAAATTAACTGGACTAAAATCTCGACATTGTGTAGTATTTGAACATGGATCTGTATAATTTCTTTTAGGTTGACATCGACTACCATCCCAATAATCTGTATAATAACATCCACATGTACCATTATTACATACTAAATAATTAAAATCTTCACATTCAAGATCACCAAAACATGTTGATTGACTATTTGTTAATTTCGGTATACATGTATATGATCGATTTGTAACATATAATGAATCCCAAATATAACTTGTATTATAACAATCACATTTTTGAAACATACTACCACCAAGACCTTGACATTGTAAACCACGATTATCATCACAAACATAAGATGATGAACATGTTGTATTATACCATTGTTTAGTTATACATGTATAATTCCAAAAATGATCTTTATCACAATCACATGTACCTATTGATTGTGTATAATTACTACAAAATAGACCATCTGCTTCAATGCATTGTGTATTAATTGAACATTGTCCACCAATTGATAATTTTTTTGCACATGTTGTACCATCCCAATATGACCATGAACTATTACATTGGCATACACCAAATATATTTACTCCACCATAATATGATAAATTACAAAAAAGATTTTGTGATGTACTACATATTAAAGAAGCTGTACAATTTTCCATATAACCCGCAGCAATTTTACAATAACCCATAACACCACTACTATTAATAGAAGAATCATAATTTGTACCTGATGGACATACACAAAGATTATTTGAACATGATAAATTAATTCGATAATCACATTGAGATGTTGATGTACACGATTCATTATAAACATGATGTGGTACACAAAATCCGTTACCTAATGAAGCACTACCATTATAAAATTTATGTGTGGAACATTGACATACACCTATACAAAAAAAAAACCTATCAGTACAATCTTTGCAAGATTGAAACGCGATATACGATGTAATTGCTGTTGCTAAGCATAAGAATATTTGTTTTATTCTATCTATTTTGAGACATATTACTTTAGCATCCTTTTACTTAATACTCCAGAAATTCCATAAATAAATAACAAGTGGTTGGAAAGCGTTAAACAAGATATTAGTTTGCTTTTCGAATATAGACTTAGACATTGTTGTTCGAGAGTAATGAAATAATCTTTAAAAAGTCCAAAAGATAGTTTAGACAGAATTTCGAAACCAACACTTCCAGTGAATACGGACATGCTTGAAAGTATTTCAGATTAGATGAGTCACGATCAGAATTTGACTATATATGATGAATCAACAGTTGTTTCTTTACTTCATAAGATGTTTCTCAAACATACTGAAAATTGTCGGAATCGATTATTTCTGTACAAACTGTAATATTAAACAAAGTTATAGCTTTTACTTAAGTAACCTACAAGCATTTTTGAAAAGCTTCTGTCAACGTAAAATGGTTATCGATTTTTCAAGAATAAACATTTAAGAACAACAAAAATAAACGTATCTTGTCGAAAGATAAAAATACTATATTTTTTTAGGAAACTTTGTATAGTAAAAACACAATAATTTTCTGTGTATACCAATTCTTTTGGGTTGTTATATATCTTTTAACTCATCAGAAAAATTTCTTAGCAGATCAAAAGGGAATAAAATTTTTTTTTTTAAATCTGCCTCTTGTCCATCACTTTATACATCTACGGAAGGGAAGAAGTTCCAAATTTGTATCTGTATACTTCAAGATTCATTTTAGATCATATTTCAAAAGAAAAATAATTTTAAACATTTTATTTCTATCGAACTTACCATATTCATCTCCATAAGGATTTGAATATTGAGTACAGACAAGACCTTGACCTAGAGGACCTGTATCATCACACCAACTATCATCATATGGATAACAATAACGATTAACAGTTCGTTTATATTCACATGTACCCGATTTTGAATCTCCATTCCAAAACATAGATGAATTACAACGACAAAGTTGTAATGTTGAATTACAAAATAAATATCGACTTGTATCACAATTAGCATTTTGAACACATGATGTATTATATAAACTTTGATAAACACACTAAAATAAAATAAATAGATAGGAAATAAATTTTTATATTATTATACTTAACAGTATATCCATTCCATGACATTGAAGTTTTACATCGACATTGAAATTCAATACTGCCACTACTAGAAAAAGAAAATTAATGAAAATCATATATGCATATATAATAAATAAAATTCGTTTGTTTATTTACGTTAGTGTAGCATTTTGACATTCTAAACTTGCTAATACATCACATACAGAATCATTATAACATGTTCGATTAACCATTCGTCTTCGTTCACAGATACTATATGAATCACTCCAAAAATGTGAATAAGCACAACCACAACGATAATTATTACAAATTAAACCAAGATCACGACGACAATCTGTATTTGATTTACATGGACCACCATTTGTTTCTTTCTTTAATGTAACAATGGCTGTAAATAAAGCAAATGCTGTAAATACGATTATAGTCAATGAAACTAAAACTAATAAAAGCCATTGTGGAATAGTAAGATCTCGCATCCAAAATGATACTGGTTTTTGTTTATCCAGAATATCATATTCCGAGACAAGCATATGTCTTGCATCAGTATTTTTAACTATATGTTCACGAAGAAGTACACTAGGGTCCTATAAATAACAAATTGATATGTTTTTAAAGAAAATCTTTTTTTTTACGAACTCGATCTTTGACCGGTGTAATAGTTCTACGTTTCTTAGCTGAAAACATTGGATATTTTTCTTCTTATTGCAGAAATAAAATGTGATGTTTTTTTTGTTGTTTAACAGCAATAATAATGAGAGTTTGATTTTAATTGCATTCAACATGAACTTTACAGATTCTTCATGTACAATAAATTACCTCTTTTTTTTGTTATTTTATGTATACACGAAAACACAACAGAATAAAACATTTTTGCTTAAATAAACAACTACAGCCATACAATTTTTTTTTTACTAGATTAAAGTTATTCTTTTATATTACATCAATCGAAATGAATATAATGAATCCTAATGACTTCTTCAAGATATTATTTTGCTTACAAAATACTTCTAATGTCCGTACCAAAATTAAACATAAAGTGGATGTTGTAACTGTAATAATACGACAATAGGAACAGTTAGTAATTTGCGATTTTTCCGCTACGCATAGAGGACAATTTTGGACGTCTTTTTATTTAACATTATATAAGATAAAATTATTTAAAAATCCATTATCTTCACAAAAAATTCAAAAGAATGCATGACAAGATTATCTTCTCATATCTAAATGTTAAGCAAACAATATTGCATATTTATTCGATCGAATTATATAGAATTCTTTTTTTTTATATAGTATCAAAAAAAAACCAACTCTTTTAAACTCGAGAGCGAATACTAAGAAATATTCTATTTTTATTTATCACAAGATATTGACATGAAGCAATTGGTATCTATATTATAAGGTTTGACTATGTTGATTAATGCCATAATAATAAAACAGAATTTTAAAAAAATGTGTCGCGTCAAAAATATGTTTGCCGAGAAATAAATTACAGGTTATGTATGACATAATTGTTAACTAGTGGATGAATTTTTATGGTTTTCATGAAGACTATAGTAGTCATCAAGAGTTACGCTATCATGTAAAAACTATTCATGGGATGGAGCTAGAAGAGTTTGTTTGAGCTCATATGAACTCTGGAACTGAGTAATGACTGTTTTACTGAATTTTTGTTCTGCAATCTTGCCGACAGTTAAGTGTAATGGCCCTTAGAATATCTTGAAAATTCAACCGAAAAAGATGTTCGTTTCTCTAGGTACTGAGTTTCCCAGTGAACTCGATTTTTGTTCCATATCTATAGCAACTGATTATTCATTGGATGAATAGAATCTCAAAAAATAAGCATTCTTTTCTGTTGAAAATTTCAAGACAAAATTTCATATTGAAACTCTTTTAGGAGTTTTCTAATCTTACATCGAAACTTTCCTATGGATTTATTTACACTATTGAATTTATCTTAACTTAGCTATTGATACCATATATAATACATTTTACCTATTTGATGATTACGTATACAACAAAACTGACAGAAAAATTCTAAAAGCTGCTCAGTCCAATATAAGTTCAAACGGCGAACTACAATTGGGATAGTTTCCTCGTTAATAAGGAATCAAATAAATTTGTTTTATATCTGTCAACATACTAATTTGCTCGTTTAAACTCGCCAGCAATAATTACATGACCGTTTTCAGATGTTTTTCTTGAACAATGAATCATCTCAAAAAAATGAAATCAATTGATTTTTAGAAGTTTAATACAGCTGTTCATATTATTCTTGTTCATGTCATTGTTTAGTTCATTGATTTTGATGAATAACTCAAGCGGAATGTAACAACTCATACAAAAACATTTCTTTCTCTTCTTCTTCTTTTTTTTCTCCTTGTTAAATAATCAATTATTATTCATGCAAAATTCTATCATGTTGACTAATTATGACATATTGACAATGATTCATTTATCTTCTACTATTGTTCTTTTTCAAACATTTTTTTTTCATGATTAAAATGATAATTTATATTTATTTAAATACTTTTTTGTTTTTTCGTGGCTCATAAATACAAATAATATATATATATAATAAGAAAAAAACAACAGAAGACAAACACAAGACAATTTGTACAGAAATGAACGTTGTGCATGAACATCTCATTTGACTAGATGGCACTCGTTTTTTTTTTTTGAAGAAACAAAAAAAGAAAAAAAAATTCAATAAATATAATAAAGACACACATAACAACATCAATAAAAATAATGATAGTCATAATAGTTTTGTTTTTTTTTTCTCTAGTTTTGATCATTATATGGAATGAATGAAAAACAACACAAAAAAAAAAACAAATCTGTTTGTACGGAATGTTAAACGAAAACAAAACAAAATACGAATTTTTAATTTTCAAAGCTAGTTTTATACATCTTTTGAGCATTGCACATTCTCGACCTCGACCATAAGAAAAGAAAAGAAAAAACAAAACAAAAAAAGAAGAAAAGACGACTAAAATCCAACTGACGATGAGGCTACGAATAGTATAGACCAAAAAAATACAACAACACAATTATACTGTTCTTACTTAATCAATTGTTCAATTAAATGTCGAGGTAACAATTGATTATTAATATTTTCTTTCAATTTAGATGATTTAATTAATTTTAAACAAAGTTCACGTAAAGATGAACATATCTTACAACAATGTTTAAGAATCATTGTACTTTGTGCACTTGTTGATGATACAGCTGGATAAATTAATACATTTGTTGGTATACAACGAAATGCAATGCCCATTGATTGATTATTAATTATATATGAAAGTGTTCGTGCATCAGCATCAAATTCTAAACCAATTAAAACAGGTTGAAGTGATTCCATTGGTTTAGATAAATATGAATATGATATTCCATTATGCCATAATAAACCATGATGTGATAGTCCCCAACCATGTTGATCAATTCCAATTAGATTTGTAAATGTAGATGAAAACATTTGTTGTTCATTAGCTTAAATAACATAACAAATAGATACATATATATATATAATTAAAGTAATTATTTTAAATAATATTATGCATTATTCTTATTGTCAAGAACTTATCAACTTACTTGCAATGCCAAACATAATTGATGTTCCATAAACAGCAGGCACATAGATTTCCCAATAATGTTTACCATTTAATGGCAATGGTCTATCAGCAAGAATAACTTGTGTTGATGAACTTGTTCTTGGATGAAATAATATTTGTTTATTATTATCAAGTAATATTGTTGTAGAATGAATTTTATTTGTTTGAGACCATTTCCAATGACTATGAAGACAATTTTTAAATTTTAAATAATGTTCACTTTTAAGATGACATATTAAACTTATTGATGACCAACATAATGGTGGTAGAATAGAAGTTGATACAGATTGAATCGTACTTCTATTACTACCACCATTATTAACGTTCCGATGTTTCTGATTCTGGTCGATGATGTTGCTTCTTCTTCTTTTTCTTTTTCTTTTTCTTCTTTTTTCTAACCATTGACGACGTCGTTGGTAAGATTTTTTCTTTCCATCATCGATTTTTCCCACTAACATCGTCTGTTCTTCTTCTTTTTTACTCATATTACGTCTCGTAGAGTTTGTTCAACAGGAAATGTGCGTGTTAGACGACTACGATGAGATTCGGAGATTTTTTTTTTCTCCTGCAGGGAACAAGCACGCGTCGCTCAATTAACAGAAAAGGGAGAGCAAGATAAAAATGAAAAAAAAAAATAGTAGATAGAACGAGAGAGAAAGAGAGAAAGAGAGTTGACAAATGACATTAATGAATGCTCAGCACGATATGACTTCTCTTCGACATCTGCTAAAGAGAAAAAAAAAGGAAAAGATGCCATCTGTATTTGTATTCTTTTTTTCTTCCCTTCTTCATCTATCAGTAATACAAGTTTCACACATATATCAATAATGTAGTGTCATGTTGTCTTGTTCGTTCTCTTTCTTTGTCCTAGTAGTGTTGAATTGTTAATGAAAGAGATAACAGTATTAAGACTCCTAAGGCGTTACCCTGGTATGCCCTATTCAACTATCCATTTTGTATGTATTTTTCATTTGACACATACTTCTATGAACATGTTTCGTCTTCAAAAATCGATGGCGCGCGTCAGATTGAAGATAGAGACATAAAGCAATTAAGACAATCCATATACGTATACATATATATATATATATAGAATAACAGCTGGTACAGTTTCCCTCATCATCATGTTTTTCATGAGACCGTCATGTGCATGTTTTTGTTCAATTGATGAGTGGCGACACGCGACAAAGCATCTTTTGAAGATCGACGCGCCTTGTGAACTCGATGATCAATCAAAAAGAGAAAGGAAGTCGATTTCAATTCTTTAATGTGTATGTGTATATATACGATAGTGAATTTGTTAAATGAACAGTGAAGAGTGTAATAAAGAAAGCAAGACAAAGAACGACAGGAAATAAGGAGTATATGTACGTATGGCCATCTGTCGTCGTGTGCACGAAATTTGAAACAAAAGAATATATATACAAGTGGATATAGATGTTGATGATGAAGTCAATCAAGCATCATATTAATCCTCGATAACGAATATGAATGGCACCATATATAGCAGTTGTCCATTCGTAGGGTGCCATTTGTGCTGTTCAATTTTCTATTATCGGTTGATTGATTTTCTTTTTGCTTATAGCTTGTTGATTCTTATCTTTACTGCTTATACAGATACATGCTGAGAATGACAGGAAAACTATTATGATTTAAATAGAATGATAATTATATATGATATACGAATAAAAATGAAATAAAATAAAACTTTAAATGTATGGTAAATCGAATGGAACGATTGTTTCTTTTCTTTTTATAATTGATTTTCATTAATGCTTTTTATCAATTAGAAGGACAGAATAGTGCAAACAATGATGTCTACATCAATTATCGATTGTCATTATGATAGATTACTAACAGATATTGGTGATAGAATAGCAAACGCGTGTAGATATGTTAAAATGTATTATATTTGCGTAACGTACTCAATGATATTCTAAGAGAATTTTGATAGTTCTAATGAAGAATTTTCATATTGGTTGATGATATCCAGCGTGTGTGTCACTCATCAACCTAAATAAACGAATGAGGACATTAACAATAAGAATGTATATTTTAATCGGTTGGAACCAAGGGAATATCATATAAACATAAATCTAGTATTTTCTTATAAGAAAAACAAAAACGATACATTTATCATTGATTTGTTCTCATCTATACGTCGACATGACATACGTATGTAGAAATAAACTTGAAAAATGATGAAATTTGAGAGTTAATTGTAAATTTAGATAACTAACAGATCATTCAGAAAGAAAAACTTAAGAGCCATTTGAGTCATATTGAAAGATTATGAGTGTTTCATAATAACTGATGATAAATTGTCAATGACATTTTTTTTTAAATCACATATATATCTAACTAAAAGCTTTGATTTTTCAAAGTTTAAACTCTCTAACATACACTAATACTGAAATATATGATTTCTGATATTTAATATTTGTTGCTTATTTACTTCTTTATCGATTCAGGGTCTGGAAGGATCTGTAAATGATAGAAACATATAAGAAGTAAACTAACAAGAATATTTAGTGAGAAGAAAGAGACAAAAGACTAATATCGAGAAGGATAGTGTTGTCTTGCTTTGAATTCTAATCATTTTTTCTTGATTAGACGTGCAAGAGTTTTGAGATAGTGTTAGCTGTGACATATTCGTTTTTCATGCACCGTCTTCTTGAATACATACTAAAAGTCAATTGATGCATTTGCCATTCAGAAGTCTTCATAAGAATCGAACAAATCATCGATTAACGGTGAATAATTATCACTAATTCATCACACTTGTCGACAGTTTGAGATTTTGCAACTTCCAATGAATACTTTACGTATAATGGAAGAAGCATCCAAACTATTGAGACATAGGAAACGAGAAGAATTTCAGAGAGAATGGAAAGTAGATTTTCAAAGTTATCCGTTATCGATTCCGGTTTGAATGTTATACGAAGATCTGTGGCACAACTTGAAGGATACAAAACCTTAAATTCGCAAGCCAGCAACGAAGGTGCACATCAATAAAGATGTGCTTCGATTTGAATTTTTTCAACGAAGACAAGATTGCGACGGCTCTAGATATTCGATGAAATTTAACGTAAATAAAAGGTTTTTGAAAGTAAATATTCATGAAAGTCTCTAGAGACACGTTTTTTTTAATTTTCTACTCTTTGAACTTTCTCTAGCATGCATGAAGTTGTTTTATTTACTCAGGTAAGGATAGATGACGCTCGTGAGTGCCAGAGTATAGTTTAGAATTATCATTCCAATAGGTGTGAACCAAAGTCGAATAGAAGCGATACCAGTATTTCTCTGTAGCAAGATCTATGTTCAATGTATAAATTTATTCGCCGTCGAGAAGTACTTGTTTGCCTTTCGTGGTCACATTACACTCGAGAAAAACTGAACGAAGAAACTGTAAAAATGCTAAGACATTCAGTTGAGTAATAGATATATCTTCGATGCGAGCATAAATTAAGTCAATTATCAAGTGTTCTAAATAAAAGTTCATAATACAGATGAAAATACTTCGTGGATCAAGTCAGTTGTCCACGAAATATATGTCTGTCGACAGTATGTCAGTCGACGAAATGTTGTCGACAATATATCTGTCAACAAACTGTCTTGTTTGCAAACGATATTCAGTTCGAAATATCAATACTTCATGCTCTTGTGAGATGCTTTAAAACCTCAAAATAATCGTTTCTATCTTTATAACTAATCAACATTTAAGATAAAAATTTGTCATTGAATCTGAAAAGTTTTAGACACTAATGCATTCCTCCATAACTAAAAATTGTTGACAATTATAGAACTTGGTGAGACAGATGTAAATCCTTCATTCCCTCGCTCTCATACGATTATCTTTGTATCCAATGAGTTATATTCTCCAAATGCATATATTTATAAAACAAAAACCGCAATGAAAAAAAAAAAACAAAAGGCGAACAAAAGTTAAAAGAAGAGAAAAAATGAACATTATACATGCACCTAGCGTTGTCTTCTTCTTCTTTTTCTTTCCATACTAAAATATATATGCAAGATTCGCATTTAACAAAAGCAAAACAAGAAAAACCAATCTCATACAAACGTGCATAGCGTTATAAAAAAAACAAATAACATTTCGAATGTGCATTAATCATACCATTAAAGATATAGCCAAGCTGCAAAACAGATCTTTATATAATAATAAAAGTAAGAAATCAATGGAATGCAATAGTAAGAAAATGAACTACTAGCAAAGCAACTCTCGAAAGGAGAAAAAAAAAACATAACATACAGTAACGGAATGATAAAGGATGAGCAGTACAAGGATATACACATATTTAAAAAAAAACTGTATCACGAAAAACGAGAAATAAAGAACAATGCACATGGTTAGTTTTTTCTTGTTTTTGATTTACAAAAGAAAAAAAAAATGAATTAAAATACATTTTAATGACCCCATTTTGATGAAGTTGGTGTCTGTGGACTTATACTTGAAAATGCTCTATGTTGACGACCCTAAAAAATATGAATTTGATATATTAAATTTTCAATTTTATTATTATTATGAATGTAAAAAATACACACGCTAATATGAGAAAAAAAAACCTGTTTCATGCGATAGGTTTATTCAATATTTTATCTATGTGCAGTTTCGTTGTTTTTTTTTTTTTTTTTTGTATCATCCGACAAACAGAAACCAAAGCATGCATCATTCATTATATGTGCATATCAATGTTAATAATAATTTAATCAAGCAAGATTAGAAAAAATTGCGCATCATGTATTTATTATTTTTTATTTTTGCGTACTGAATATCTATCTATCGTTTGTTTTGTGGCTGTTGATTTTTGCTTGATGCAAGAGCTTGCATCATCTGAAACATGCATAATATATCATCATGTCGAATATTTTATAAAGCAATGAAAATATCAATATTGAAGCTTTGGAATTATACAAACCTCCTTTCCAAAACGATACAAGTGAATAGACTATGATATGATTAAATAAAACTTTTTTATGTTCATACTCAAACTCTTATACTAAATCTTGTTAAAATAAGTGAATTTGTAGATTAATTACTAAAATGTTTTGTTTTTGAAATTCTCAAACTTACTCTTGGTGGTATGAATCTTCCTCGTCTTATTTCTTGTATTGGACCATTATTACCAGTATTCTGATTAGTATTAGTTGTATTATTATTAACTGATGCTGTTGTTAATAATCCATGTGATGATCCCGAAGAAACAGGTGATGTTAACATTGATGATGATATATTATTATTTAAATTATGTGTTCGTTTTGAAACAGTAATTGTATTATGTGCTCGTTCATTATCCATTTCTAAATCTTCAAGTTTTTGTGTTAACGCAAGTTTTTGTTCAATTGCCATACGAAGTAATGAATTAAGAGTTTTCTTTTCTTCTTCAGCAGCATGAACTTGACGTTGAAGTTCATCTAATTGTGTTACATATTCATCACAACGTGCAGCAAACATAGCACGTAATGATGCAAATGTAGCTGCATCTTCTTTTAATGATTTTAATTCATTACGTAATTTTGACATTGTTTCTGTAACAATTAATTTTTCATTTTCATATTTAGATTTTAAATTAGCTAATGCAACTTCTGCTGTTTGTTTATTAGCTTTAAGAACAGTACGTAAAGTACCAATTTGTTCACGTTTAGTTGTTAATAATGAACGTAATTTGATTATCTAAATAGAACAAATGTCATATAGAATGTTAGTATATCTGTTTTATCACATATACAAATAGAAACAATGTCTGTCGGATCAAACGGATGTCTCTGGTGTATTGAAAACGTGACAAACACCAAAAAACGTACATATTGATTAATCGAAGGCATAGAAATTTTTTTTTCAATTACAAATCTTTAGACTAATTAGTTGCAAATACTCAAAATTATAAAGCTGACTTCACGAGAATTTTTTCATGAAGATTGCCAGAAGTAAATTAGTCATTCTATTTTATAGATCTATGAATAAACGTCAGGAAAGAGTTAACAAGTGTAAAACGTCAGTTATAATTAAATGTAATTTTTGAAACTTAGATGTTTTTTTTTTAATTTTCTCTAGAAATAGGAAACTGATCTTTTACATGATTCCTCTCTGTTAGTTTTTGTTATAAGAGAAGTGAAATTCGATTCATTTTTATAATACTTTGATTATAAAATATTACGTACTTGATCTTGTAATTCTTTGGTATCATTAGGTAATTCATTAGTTGAATTGTTATTTTCATTAGTAGATAAATGTTCTTTTGACTGTTGTTTAGTATTACTTAATATATGATCAACTGATTGTTTCAATTGTTTAACTTGTTCTTGAAGTATATCTAATATTTGTTGATTAACTGTTGGATCAATAATTTTATTATTTAAATTTAATAATTGTTGTTTCCTTGTTTCAAAATCATTTGTTGGTATAGATGAACTTATCGATGTATAAATATGTTTATGAAGTATTTCTAATTCTTCACTTATATGCAACTAAATAATAATAAAATAAATTAAAAGTAGAGAAAAAAAAAAGAATTTGTGTTTTTTTTTTTTTGTTATTCTTACTAAATTGTCATGATTTTTATGAAATAATGTTTGTGTATCATTGCACTGTTTCATTAAAATATTAATATCTTGTTTTAATTTCATAATAAGATTTTCTTGTTCATCAGATTTCTTTTTTAATAAATCTTGATCACCATTAAATACATGAAGATTTTTATGAATAATTGAATCAATTTGTTCAATAGAATCTAATGCTGTTATTAATAGATGATCTGTATCATCAGAAGTTGATTCTGATGATATTTGTTTATTTGGTATAACTATATCCATAAGATGTTGAATTTTATGTGAAAGTATTTTTGTTTTTTCATTTATTGTTAATAATTGATTATCAAGTGATGATTTTATTTGAGCTAATTGTAAACATTCAAGTTCAAGTTTACGTATTTCATTACCATGAATTTCACTAAAATTAAAAATTAAATTCAATTGGAAAAGATTTTTGTTTTTTTTTTTCTTACCTAAATAAATTTCCAACTGGTTGCTGTTCTTGTTGATCATTATCAAGCATATCACTGTATTCAGTTGATGATGGAACACGACTTGTATCATCATCTTCAATATCATCATCACCTTCGATTAAATATTCATCATCTGTATGTGTATTAGTATGACCATTTAATGTCATACGTAATGAATCTAAATTTCGACGAGATTCCTTGAATTAAAAAAAATAAATAAATCAACTACAAAAAGAAATGATTTATTTTTTATTACTTGTTGAATTCTATGATCTAATTGTTTTTTATAGATGTGTTTTTGTTCTCGTTCATCACGAAGATTATCATGTAATTCAATTAATTGAGATTCAGCTATAGCTTTTAGAGATTCAAGTTCTTTCATCATACGATGTACATCATCAATCTATAATGAATATTTTATTATCAATACAAATTTTTTTTCTCAATATAACTTACATTTTCTTGTAATTGTTTATTTTCAAGTTTTAATCCGTCGAAATCAATAAGATTTTCTCTTAGTTTTTGTACTTGTTGTTGTAATGCAACATTATCTTCTTCTAATTCAGTATTAGCATCAATAAGTCTTTGTTCTTGTGCTTTTGTTTCTTTTAATTCATATTTTAATTTGACTTTTAATTCATCTAATTCATGAATACGTTCAGTTAATTCTTGATAATTTAAAGAAATTTTTTCATTTTCTGTTTGTAAGCGTTCATTATCATGTTTTAATACACGTAATTCATGTTCATGACGAGTAATTTCTTGCATTAAATAATTTTCACGTGTTTGTTTTTCATTTAATAGTGTTTCTTCATTAGTTTCACCTTTTAATGTTTCTTCACGTTTAGTAACTTGTAATGTTTTTAATTGTACTTTTAATTGTTCACATTCTATTTTAAGTAATTCATGTTCATTTTCTAATTCTTTATGTTGTAATTCTAAAACTTTCTTTTCATCAATTAATGCTAAACCATATTCAGCTGCTTGTAAATTAGCTGAATGTAATTTAGCTATTTGAATATAAGGATCTTCGTCTTCTGTTGATGTCATTTATTTAAAGCTAAATCAAATCAATAGATATGTATAAGACAAAAAAAAAAAAGTGAAAATTATCCTACCTGATATTTCAAACTTGCGTAGATATGATAATGAACAAAATATTTCTGATGACAATGACTGATAAGAAGCGTCAAATTTAAGTGATTGATTACGGACGGACGGTTAAAAGGATTACTCTACAGAGAAAGGTAAGGCATATGTGTATGTATGCTTTTAGAAAGAAAAAAAATATACAGGTGGACATTTTTAATGATATTCAATGGATGACAAGCAATGAAATGATAAAAAAATGAGATACATAATAAAAATAAAATAGGATTTAGAAAATATTTTTATCATTTACTTAATATTTTTCAATTGATTAATTTAAGTATAGATGTCGTCCTTTGCTGGATACGTATTTTGAAAGAATGGTAACGTATGAGAATACTTTTTTCAAGAGTCTTTTTCTTGTTATTCGAAGTCATCAAGAGACATAGACATTTTAGGATAGTATATTTTTCCCTATTCAAGTCGCATTTCCAGAATCATAATTGATCGATAACAACAATGATGTAATAGTGACTGTTTTGAACCTATTCATAAATATATTGTGTTTTGAAAACAAAATATTTGATCAGTAAAATAGATTAACTGATTAGTACTAAAACTATTAGAAAATAATAATAAAATGATCAGTTTATTACATATAAATAGCAGTAAAAAATATAATTTATTTCAATTAAAAATTTACAAGCTTGATCAGAATAGTATAGAAATTTGATCAGTAGAAAAATAAGTTTTAACTGTATTAAGTCCTATAGTATGAGATTAAAAAAAACTTAAATAAACAAGCAAAAAATCCGAAAGAACATTTAATAGAAATTCAAAGAGCGAGTGAGAAAACAGAAAATGAAAGTGAAATTATTGCAGTGGCAAGGTGGGTTTAGTCCTAGCTGATCATCTGACAGATCACTTTCATCTAGTGTAACTTGTACCACCCCCATCTGTTTTACTGATAACACTTGGCTAATAATGAGAGAGAGGACAGGAACAAAGCGTATATATATATACATGTTAGTATTCAATGTCGAACTTGAAAAACAGTTTTCGTTAAAACCTCTACTAGTGCCTAGATAGATATGAGATTGGAATACATATAGCTGTACTGTGTTAAAACAATGGTATTTCAGGCATTGCAATCATCAATGAAAAAACTAAGTATGAACTCAAACACTTATGTATACTTTTCCATGAGACCTGTCCTTCTCTAAAAATTTTATTGATGGCTTTCTGAATCCTACTTTACTTTTTGTATCACCTGAAATACCATTGTTTCAAAATAGTTCAGTAGCAAGTATTCCAATCCAATATCTATCTAGAGACCAGTAGAGATTTTAACAAACACTACTATCAGAATCCCACATGAAACAAGTCCACAGTGATAATCTCAAATTGCCCTAGATGGATCTGAGATTGAACTGAATCCAAGATTCGACGCTACCCTATATATGTGGTACTTTCTATCTGTACGACATAGTAGAATAACAGAAAGAAAAAAGAAAAAAAAATGAGTCACACTAAGGTACATTTGAATTTTTATACTCATCTTTTTATTTAATTTACTGTTAAATAATTATATTCACTGATTCTTAAAGATCACTTAAATCGGAGCCTTGTTTTTTCACTTGTTGTGTTGTTTGTGTTTAATAAGTATCTATCCTGATTTATGCTGTATGAATGTAGAGAAAAGTGTTTTTTTTTCATTTCTTCACAGAGCTTCTAGTTACCGCTTAATTATAGACAAAGAAAAACAAGATTGAAATGAATCCATAGCTGGGAACAACTAGAACAGTTTTAACTAAGCGAATACGAAGTTAAGAAATTCTTATGTTATCTCTCGTCCCTAAGTATCTATGATAGTAACAAAACAGAGAAAGAGAATTTGACCAAGACGAATATTTGCTATAACTATGTTACAACCGATGCCTAATTTTTTTATGTAAACATCTTTTCAATTGACTCAGTCATAAAACGATTTGAATAAGTGCATCACTGAATTCATTGTGTAAAACATATGAGATATCAATCAAAAAAAGTTTGATGTAAGGAAGTTGGAGTGTGGGTGTCGGTGTAGGGCTCTATCTGCTCTTCAAATTCCTTCCACACCTACACCTCAACCCACGCCTACCTGCAGATCCCATCAGGTTACAGGATTCTAAACGACATCCATTTAAAAAATACTATAAAACTGCAATATCTACAAAATAACAAGCTAATGATATGAATTCTTTCACGTTATTCGTAGCTCGTTTTCGACTCAAAAGCGATTTATTAGATGAATGAGTTTTCTGCTGCAGTTCATTTCGACAAGAAATAACGCTGTGCCACATATCTACCTTTCTCATTCTTACGACCATTTCTATAATGTCAACGAATTTCTGAGTAATTGATATTGTTGATGCTACGTAAGTTTATTTATTTAGAACAAGATCCAACTAATTTTCTTAGTTTATCAATTATCATTTGCATCACAGTAGGTTACAAAAACCAGATATGAATCATTTTATTTTGTGATTACAAGGCTTTATTGATTAATCATAGGTCATTGAAGAGTTGAATACCTTTCCATCATAATCAGCAATACCAATAACATTATCTGAGTTACGCTTCTGAATCAAGAATTTAATTTGCTTTAGAAATGTTAAAGGAAACAACATTATAATGGTTGCTTTTAATTATGGAAGCTGTGTTGAAGAGCTCGCAAAAAATCAAGTGAGTAAACATATAGCAGGGACATGCCAACGAGTGCCAACACTGTCTTGTATTGATTGCGGGAAACGTTTTACTTATGATAATCATTTATTTGATTTTATTAATCGTGACTCACGTAAGGAACATACAAAATGTGTTGGTATATTAGAAAAAACTTGTGGTGCAAATTATACAGTACCAACAAAATCAACTGTTTGAAATAGTTCAATCAACTATTAATCTTAATTTTGTTAGTACACAAGCAAAAGTTTTATTGAAAAAACTTCAGTACTAGAGCTCGGTAGATCCTGATTCTAGACACCAACCTACACTCAATCGAATGACGAGTAACTGAGTTGTGAGTCAACCACTACTTTGACCTTAGAACACCCAGATCTGTACCATTTGATCTTTCTGATTTGTTAGCTGAACATCTAGCCTCTCTCTACTGTAAAGATTTTCGATGAAATCATCTTTTCCTTGTTTAATTTTATGTTTCTAATAAAGAATCATTTGTCATAAGCATATCAGTGCCTATAGATAAATGGACTCTAATTCAAACACATTTCAACTGTTTTTTCTGAAATTTTATCCAAAAAATTTTCATTAGTCTAGAAAGCTTTTCTAAAAATTAGAGATTGATAGCTGTGACTGAGCAGAAGTTGTTGAAGAAACTTGATGCTAACACTGCAAGGCTCATAACTCGTTGAAATCCTAATCTGAAACAAATATTTACGTCAAAAAGGGACGAAACTGATGTTGAGAAAAGTTTTGGCTGGCTCTCTATAGTTTCGTCCGTTGAAAGTTAAATTTTGATTGATAAATGCACTAATAAGTGTCTAATTTCTACTATAGAAATGTTATTTGAATTCTTTTGGATCCCAACGTATAACAAGTTTTGAACTATTGGTAACAAGTTTCTTTAATAATTTTTGCTCAGTAATAGCTATCAATCTCCAATTTATAAAAAAAAATTTCACAATAAATGATTGAAACCGGTCTAATGTGAAAAAAGAAGATATTGATGAATGAAAATCGAAACGAAAACTTAATGAAGATAATAAAGAATCTTTAAAAAAACAAAAAGCAAGTGATAAAAATGAAATTGTTCAAAACAATAATAATCAAGCAGTGCCATCAAATCTTCGTTCTGAATGGTATGATGAAATATAACTTACATTAAGTAAAGCAATTATCGAATACTTTAGTTGCTTTAAAGAAAAAAAGTAATTATGCAAAAACAACGGAAAGCAATTTGATATATATAATATCTCTATGTTTTAGTTTTTCAAACGATGTGAAAAATTGTAAAATAAAATCCAACATGCACCATTTGCTCCACATATTGAAGATAATACGTATTGATTGTCTGAATGAATAGATTTTTGTGTGAAAAAACTTTCTTGTTACACTTGAAACTTCTCAAAAAGTGATATGTTCCAGTAATTATTTCCGCTTTTTTTTGTGATAAATAAATAAATGAAATCAAATGGTAATATCTCTTAGTTAAATGTGATTCGAAATATGAGAGAAATTTGAGTTTAGTTTTAATTGAAGAATTACTGGCTAAGATTTTTTTAGACTTATCTTTGTCAAATGAGTCGAGATTTAAATGTTGATTAATGTAATTCATTTTTAAGTACTTCGAAATGAAAACAATCCTACTATGAACTTGTAGTTGAAATAAGTGTAAGGACATATGTAGAATTATTCGATCTGTATAGATAATGAATGAATAGAAATTTCTCAAGACTGACTTACTTTTTCTAACATTTAAATAGAGTAGTTCTCTCTTTTAAACCATTAAAAATTCATTTAATTAATTTTTTAGAAAAGAATCTAGGAAAATCAATTTATGTTGCATGAAATATTCATAATTGACTAGATGGTATTCGAGTTTCACTTGACTGGAAAATCTGGTCCAAAGCTGCCAATGTCGATTAATGGAATAATCGTTTGGACAAATGGAATGAAATTATTTTCTCTGAAAGATAATCAGGCTTTTTCTGTTACTGTGAGTGGCAAAAGTTACATTCCGACCAACCAGACGATCGACGTCAGAAAGAAACTATGAAGTAGCCATTACAAAATTCACCGTGAAGAGAATTCTATAAACGATTCATATCTCTCTCATCTATAGGCAAATAGAGTAGTGACCAAATTAAGCTTGTGTTTTTGGACAGCTTCCTGTAAGAAAATAGAGAAAATGGATGTTATCAATTTAATCATTAGATTGCATTCTTGCATTTGAACGAACA